CCTTTCTGTTAATCTTGCTAGCCAGATATTTTCGTAATTTTGAAAGAAACTTTCCTAGCCAAATATTTTTTTTCGTAATTCTGAAAGAAGCATCTGTGAGGAACATTGTAAGATACCATTAGCAAATATTAGAATGGAAAATTTAAAGACGATTTTACTCAACCATTGAAACTTCCAATTTTTCCATTCCACCTTTGCTTACTTTTCTATTACAGTCCAACCGTGATAGTATCATCAAATTTGATCAAATAGCATGACTCTGAATTGATAAATCGATAAATATTTGAACATTTTCTTTCAAATATTCATCGATTTATTAATTCAAAGTGAATTTACATTATTCATGAAATTCTGGATGTATAAATGTTAAAAGTAATGAAGAAACAAACCTGGAAAAAACATTTTTTTTCCGAAAGAAGAATGAAATGAAACTGATTTCTTATAATAACGAATAAAGCACTGATAATACGATATGAATTTGTGATACTGTTGAAGTTACATTCCGAAATACCGCCAACTATAGATTGATCGAGAATTGATCAAATCCTTTACTAGATCACTATCTCGATGAGGAAAATCGATAATATTGAATAAAAATGTTGTTTAGTTTTCACTGATAAACTTTAAATGTTACAATGACCCTCACCAACCTTATCATCGAGTCTAAATCAAAAAAAAGTACAACGTTTAATGAAGATGGAAAGGATAATAAAAAGCATTGTAAATTTTTGTAGTTTAGAATTCCTTCGTAAAAAAATCTAATTTGAAGTAGACTGAATGGTTATACTAATGTCCGGGAACAGCAAGAATCTCACGGGAATATCGATAGCTCCGTTGATTGCACACTGATATGATTGACTCAATTTGATCTTCATATTAATATACCTCATAATTTCACATACGTTTCTTTTTAAGTTTAAATTTTTATTAGTAAACAACCAATTAATTATATTCAAATTTATAACAATCTCATGTATTCACTCATCAAATTTGTAATAATTTCCTCGCTATTTCATTCGAAACATTCACTCTATGAGTGGTAAATATTGAAAAATTCATCATACGAAAATATTTTTATG